CAGCAATATCACGGCGGGGGACACCAGAAATGGGCTTCACACATTGTACCCATGTCGGGAATCGAACCCGGGTCTTCGGCGTGACGAGCGAACGCTTTAACCACCAGGCTACCCGACCGCCCCAATAATTCAGAAAGATTGAATAGAGTACAAATGTGATCGGTAGTTGGGTATCCTTTTCTGTTCTGAAACCTACTTGAGCTTCGAATAGAATGTTATTTATTTCAATATAAGTGCTCAAACGGTTATTTCGTATATAACATTATATATATTGACAAACATATTAATAGTGCATGCAATATACTCATTGATTACATTATTAAGTCTTGGTGCTTTGTTTTAACAACCTTCCTGAGGCAAGAGAGTTAACTGACTTTAAAAGTCCAGTTTCCGAACTAGGCTGGAATTGATTGGACTATCCATAGACTCGTTAGTCCAGCCAAAATGTAACTCCATAATACCAGACTAGTTTGGCCAGGGTGGAAACTGGACTTTTATAGTCAGTTAACTCACTTGCCTCGGGAAGATGTGTTTTAACACACGACATGATTTTGTCCCTTGTTTTGACCGAATTTAGTACTCCGCTGTCCTAGGGTGTCATATTATCATTAATGATAGTATTTACCATGATCACTAGCTACATGTACGTACAGATTGCCAGTGCGAGAGTATATCACCAATTACGAATATTATCTGGTATACTTTGATAATATTTCTTTTATATATTCTGAACTAATTTTAGCGAAGGTTTCATCAGTGGAGTACGTAGATCCTTCAGGCCGTGTATACGAGACACCATGTATGCATAATCTCTACCTACTTGCAAGGACCCGTCAAGATCCGCAGTAGAATAAGTCAATTCAATCAGTTTATTCACATATAACTGTAAGGCCACAGGCCCATAGAACAGAATACATGACAATGTGGAAGCAGTTAGAAATGTTACAAGGATTCATTTCTTAATAACATGGCATGATATATAAAGTGGGATGGATTTCGTATAGTCGTTATGCTCACATGTGATATTAAAGAGATAAACCTGTATTTATTTGGATGTACATAGTATTTTTGTTGAATATATTTTTTCCTGAAATTATCATATTTACAACATACAAGTAAAAAGTGAAATTCATCTTCGACAACATTTAAAAAACATTGTCTTCATAATCTTAAACATTTTGGTATTTGTTTGTGCCTGCAAACTTCATCCATTAACCTATGTGAGCTGCCTCTCAATTGTGTTAATGATATTCTGCATTGTCTTATATTTACATCAGGTAAATCATTTCCTGCGCATATTTGCATTTTAAAATATAACTATAATATTCGCATTTGCTAGAAACATCTACAGTAGACCTCGATGTTTGAAAGTACAACTCAAAAAGCGTCTGCCTTATTTTCGATATGAACATGGCATGATTCTCTACGAAACATTGGTTGTCCCAGATGTAACCATACCCACAATTACACAGTAGACATTTAACATTGTATTCCCAATTTTTATCTCCATTCTTTCCATACAATAGAATCATGTCATAACATTTTTATGGCAATCTACTTACTGGTATTTTTGTAATTCTAACCAATACCTTATGATTTTTATATTGTGATATGCAAAGGCATGCGACCACATTCACCATAAACCATTAGGTTAGAAGTAGTGTGTTAAACACCAAGAAATCTTTTGCATGCGTATAGATGTACGGATTCAAATTCCTTAGCCACCGCAAAACCCCATATTTCCGAAACATAGGAAAGATTAGGAGCTATTTTTGTGTCAAACATGATGAAGAAAGGTTCATAAGCACAGTCGCGAAAATGTTCAAACGTTTGTATAAATGTAAAAGTCCAAGCAACAGCATTTTAGCTTGGATTGCTGCATTACACATATGTCTGTTTCATGATAATGTACTTCGAAATATTACACCAAGATATTTATATGACGTTTCAGTTTTTCAGCATTAATGATACCACAAGTAGGTTCAGACGACGCCCCCTGTATATCCGGGCCCTGGCCACACTCCTTTCTCTTCTGTGTCGGTCTCCCAACCCTGCCCGTGTTACCTCTGTCGGTCCGACGTGGGTTGTTTCCGTCACGTGACTCGGGTCGAGTCACCTCTGGATTTACAGGTGAAGTGTACGTATCACGTACAGGAACAGACGACAGTTTACCACCTTCATAGAAATAATGTTTGCTTGGGTCTTTCTCTTTGCATTGTTGTATTTCTTGTCTCATCGTCGGGTCGTTAGCTATACCGTAACCTCTGGACTCAACCTCAAGTTCGGAGTCTTCATTTTATCGTCCCAATGAACCATTTTTGCAATAACTGGGCGTGGTTTATCGGACGACATGCGTCGCATCCTGTGTGCCCTCTCGATAACCCTCAGTGTTAAAAGTTAAATTTCATCAGTTCTGGCAGAGTTCAGAACATCCAATGGTTTATTTTTGCGAAAAGAATAAGATTCGTTTGCACTCTCAGGGATACCATAGATAATAATGTTGTTCCTTCTGTTACACCTCTCAAGATCCTCAATGCGTGAATCAATAGCATCGAAACCATTATGGATCCCATCAACATTATCATTAACAGCATCAATATCTAACCTCATGATGTTATTTTCTTCTTTGGTCTCCTTGTTGTTTTTCAGGAACTGTGATGTCACCACGTAACAACGGAATGCCGTTCCTCATTGAACTGATCTCGTTTGTTAGTTTATCCTCCGAATCGTTTATTTGCTAAAATATTGCTAATTTCTATATATTTATTTAATGGCCGAGGTTTTAACTCTATGTCTCCTGACAGATATATAAGAATACCTGCACATGGATTGCACATACAACTGTCTCGAGAGTAGTCTTTTTTTTCAAAGTAAACAAAGGGGTCTGATTGTACTCACATATATGAAAGTTCATTATGGTCTCAAACAAACTCAGATCAGAACACACGTAGCTTGCGTTGTTTCCAATGGTCATACCTGAGGTGTAGATCGACAGTAACAACACTGTGCAAAATAAAATCCCTGGCGTTCATTGCGATGTAGATCGATACGGCTGCATTTTGTCAGTTCGTTCGCGACCCCTTGTCTGCTGAAAACATCCGATCCGGATTCTCCATATATTAATGGAACACCCATGCTTAGTGAGTAGGATTTTGTCACCTATGGACCTTACCTTCAAATCTTTTTCTTCGACGTTTGTGGGAGTTGGGATAACTATAACGGCTCCCAACGGAAGATAACTCACAGGGTAGAATAGGTCTTCAGCAACCCATGCTTGCGGAAAAAAGGCGACATTGCTTGTCGAAAGAGGCGACTAACGGGATCGGTTGGTCAGGCTCGTTGACTTGGTTGAAGCATGTCATTGACCCCAATTGCGTGGATCGATGCTCATGCTATTAATCACTGAATTGTCTGGTCCAGACACGATTATTTACAGACCACCGTCATATTGCTGGAATATTGCCGAGTGCGGAGTAAAAACAACAAACAACCCATCCAAACTTCTTGACACTGGAGATTAAATACATTCTTTGATGTTTCAAACATGAGAACTTCATCTGTGTTCGAGTTAACTTTAAGAAAATGTGTGTTAATACTCCTTCTAATTGCCAAAGAAGTATTCAGCTAGAGTTCCTGTTTGTGACTGACTTTTCTTCAGACAATAAACTTCAAAACCAGGGATACTGACACAATCAAAATCGTCTATTTAACCAAGAACTCACAAAATGCCTTTACTAATAATCTGGTTTTTAGATGACAGACACTGATATGGAGGAAGTTAAACTAATCCTTAAATGTTACTGAATCAGCAAATCACATGGTGTTCGTCTGAGAGTGCTTCTGCCTCTGTAAATAGTGTGACTCGGTAACTGACATCCGTCGCATGGCTAATCTCTGTTCTTGTCCGGCTCATCTTGTCTTCTCAATTTGTCTGGTTGTCTCCCCTCAGATCTATGCGTTTGCACAGGCTTGTCTCTGGAATGATTGTTCTTCCACTTTAGGGATCATGAATACGAAAGGTTCTTCCTCGGGGTAATTTCGCCTACCATTTAGAAACAGTTTGTTCACAATTATATTTGCTTTCCATCCCCGCCTTCTTGTTTCCTTGAATATGTGAAGTAAATATTTCCGTCCTTGAAAACTTTCTCAAGGAAATATTCCGTGATACGAAACCGTTTGTCACTGCTTGTTTATATCTGTAGAAATGACATCAATCACAAGAGAAATAACTCAAGGGTTAAGAGAGGTGATCCATGAGTCAATGTATCATCATTTGCGCTACCCCAATAAAACACGCCTCCTCAACTCAACACCAAAGCTAGGATATAGGTTGAACCTGAAGGTCATACAACGTACCGAGAAATAACTTGCTACCGAAATTCCAGGTAGCAGTAGGAGTCGTACTATTGCAATGCTGCTGCGTCAGTATTCCGGTAGACATGGGTGAAGGGGCCTGGGCCTAGAATGTTTTTGAAAAACATTCAGTGCTGAAAGTCAGAACCAATTCAAACAATTGTATTTACCTACAACACATTATTCTTCAGAACAGACAGCATGTCAAGTGAAAATATATCGAGCCTTTTCGGGAACAGATTTATATAGTAAAACATCTATGTGTTGCCATATCATAACGTTAAATAGCAATAGCTTCACATAACATGTACGTGATTTTGCATATCAAACAAAAATAGTTATCTATATAGATATCTATCTTTGTGAAATGGTAGGAAACGGTCAATCCTGTTTTGTATGTTGGTTTAATTGGGATCCTGTTTACCTAAAGAAGCAGACAGGTGATGATCGATTTTTCGTAGACACGAAACACATCAGGTGAAAACAAATACGGCAGGAGGTAAAATGTGTCGGTGAAGTAGAACTGGTCTAACCACAATTAACATCTGCTGTGCAAAGGATCATTTTCATAATCAAATTGAAATTAACTTTCAGATATATATCACTGAAATTTTCCAGTAAATGACAACATGTTTGAAACAACAGTAAGCAGATCTGAATTTAAGCATTGCAGTACAGCATTTTCCATGATTTCCAGTCAGACTCGGAAGTCAGCATGAAAGACGAGGTTGTCCTGTCGAACAATGCACATCTTCCCTGAATTTCCATGTAGCTGAACATTCCACAGTTTGGGTGTAGAAAACACCACCTCGCGCAGATTAGGTAGTCTGTGAATGTGTCCTTTATGAGACCGTCGCTCCACTTGCCAGAGACTCTGAGAAATCCTCCTGTGCAGGTTTCTCCTGAATCAGCAATAAAAAACAAAAATGCAAACCACTTTATCTTTGTCAATAGTGTTCTATTTACCTTGCAAACTGCTGTCTCGGAAAATACAACTGATGAAACGCCATGTGTAAAACAATTAACACCTTACCTAGACGGATGCGATGAGGACTTCCATTGAAGCCCTTCAAGCCAAATCTTTTGACAGAGACACCTGTCGGGTCGGTTACATCAAAGACTTTGTCACTTCCAATCGTTTTACCTTTTCCATACCAAATACTTCCATTGCCCCAAAATGCCCAGAACCATCTGTAATGAGAGAAGATAATATGATGACTATATTTCAGAAATCATTCGCCATGCATTTTGTCTTCTCTCTGAAACACAATTTGTAACTGGGTGAAACTGTTAGAGTGTTATAGTAATGGGGGTTGTTTAAGGTTGTTGTTAACATTTTGTCGCCCACGCGGTTATAACTTCTGATAATCTTGTTGGTATTGTCCCTTGAATTGTTTTCTGACAAATGACTGGATGACATTGAAGCTTAATACTGTGTATGTGGTAATTATTGTACTTGACACTTTGTACAGATCTCTAGGATTGAGGCGTAAGTTCAATTGTTTTTATGGCCCTTCACATATGGTTAAGGTAAAAGTGATCATGTTTTCGAACATGACCGAAATTATAATTGAATTTACAAACAATCAAAGCAGTTATAAAGCAGTGATGCTAACCTATACCCAGCTAAAAAAAGTAGGTTCTAATGTCAAAGGGACACACCACTTTCCACCAAATCCTCGCATATGATTGGCTGACATTGAAGGTCAATATATTTAAACCGGAACTGCATATAACTTTCAAAATAAGGCAGCCAAATAGAAATGTTCTGGTGACCAAGAGTGATGATATTAAACTGGAACTTCACTTCAGTTCTCAGTTAAGTAGAAAAAGTGACTTTCGATTTTCTCAGACAAACAAAGTCATCAAATCGGAAATGCAGTAAATGCCTTTATTATCATAGTGACAAGGCTAATTTAATGTTTAATGTTTTCTGGGTGACAAAGGGTCTCCTGCTTGTAAAGACTGTTCCAGTTATTCGACATTTAATATATTTATACAAAATACAAAATCCATTAAATACATGAATGCAAATAATTACCTGTATTCGTCACAGTGAAGGATGGAACCCGTACCAACTTCCCTATACCCACTTGTTGGCCTGATTACTAGTCTGGATCTATCATTGTACCAGCCACCAATCAAAAACTCAACCAGCTCTGCACCGGCGGAGTCCAGGAGGCTGAGACCATGGTCCTGACATGCCTTCACTTCATACACTATACTTGTACATTCTTCAGCGTCAACCCCTAAAGTTACCAAGTCTTTGATCACTTTATTGGCTCCATTTGTGTACACAACCATGGGAACACCTGCAATATTGATAATATTTTACAGTCATTTTATCACGCTTTTTCACCTTTTATGGCTGTTTTGCAAACAAAAAGAAATCTAAGTCACTTATTATGCCAGAAAAAGTGTGAGAAAATGATGTTTGCAGCTGAAACTGCTGTTTCTGCCCATCACCCTTCTGAAATCTTGGGTTCACCATGAGTCCCACACATCCTTTTGTAACAGTAGCAAGCACGAAAACCTGATTTTAAATAGGTTGAATCTACATACTCTTGTCACAATGTTGTATTTGCTTCAAAACCAAGGGAATGCTCACGGAACGAAACTGGTCCAGGAGATAATGTGAAATAGGATTGCTTTCTCTTGTGTACTTTCGCTTAAAGTTCAAGTTTTGGCGCAGGTTTATTAATACACAATTGGCTCCCATATATAAATAAAAGAGAAGAAACCCTTTCAACACTTATGAGAAGTCTTCTAAAATCAGACCCCATTGTACGATTCCGACTATATCATAAGCATGCGATTATGAATCATTATCATATTTTGATAAAACCAGGTGTTCGCTGTTCGAGAAGAGTAAATTAGTGACACTAACCATTGTTTCAATATGATATTAATAATAAAGCTTCTACTTGGATCACAACATGGAAACATTTCTATACCAGCGATAGCGTATTAATCTATTTCCACGTTTATTACAAAATGTAACAATTCCAATATTTTTATCACTGCCAAGGCGACCATTAACAATTCCTATCTGGTACGTTTCACGAAACAGCTGTGTCACGTGAAATACGTCGTTGATCACAATATTTATTATTTTAAAGAAAGGTTTGTCCTCATCACCGTCACCGAGGATATAGGCATCCAGTGATGGCAAATGTTCATCTACAGATAACGATTCCTGTAAATATATGGTCAGGGTTGTCAGCAGTCAAAGAATAAAGATCACCAATAACAAACACATATTCATATTGTTTAAATGTCGCTGTGTATTTGTGTAGAGGATCATAAGTGTCCATCCCACATGAACATCCCGTTAAACCGCCCCCATGAACACAGAACATCTTTATATTTCCACTGACACAGTCAAGTTTGCAAGGAGAAACATAAGCAAGCAACCCCCCTGAATCCCGTTTTGCCCCCACCCCTCCACCTTTCCTCTTCCGATACTGCTATAGTGTTCTTATCCTTATCAACCCAAGGTTTCATACAATACAATATCGATTCCCCTCAAAATATTAACGAAATCAGCAGTTTCTAAGTAATATCCATTAATATTCAATTACAGTATTTATTATTTATCCCGACAGAGGCTCCTGGTAGAGAGATGTCTGTGTGGTGTTGTTATTAAACTGGAATTTCTCAAGCAATTTGTCCCTCAAGAATTTGCCTTGCTGGCCATGGGTAAACTCGCCAACCTTCTTTCCCGAACTCCCTGAGTTCCCAGACAACTGATCATCACTCATCCCGTGGGATTTACCTTGTACTGCTTCACCCTATCTTTTGTCTCTTGTAAAGCACACGACGATGGGTTTCGCCCTTCCAGAGGAATTTTCACACGTGAACAAGCAATCTCTTCGTCACTTACTACTTTACAACTGTCTCTGGGACTTTCAGTGGTTATGAATTTTCGAACCAGCATTTCACAGTTGTCGGCGTTGTTGTATTTCAGGCCATGAGAGATAAGGTCGTTTCGCCGACTGCAGGCTTGTTAAAGTTTTCTGTTTTCCAGCTGATTAAATCGATTTAAGAGAGGCTCTGTTGTCATATATAATTCAGCTTTGATGGTAGTTGCATTCAAATTGAGTTTTTCAATCGGCCCTTGATGCTTATTAAGTCTATTTTCAATGATAATTGAAATATTGACGCTCAATGCATTATTCAGTTAGTGTAACAATGTCACTTGAGACAGGGTATCCGCTGCAGCCGACAACTCAGGTTGCAATGCATGGCTGTTACACCTATTCGACGGATGGGGAAGACATGCACTCAAGCGTTTTGCGACCCATCAGATCATCGTCATTGTCGGTATCGACAGATCGTGGTGTAACGCTGTCACTGCCCTTTCACGAATCATGTTGGACTCTCTGAAGAGTCAATCATCAGGTTTGGCTGACAGGTCCCGATAGGTCAATTGTTTCCTTAACTTTGACTGACAATGCAAGGCAGTTTCTGGCATGAATGGAAAACACACATTTGACACTCCAAGACAGTTCATTATTCCATTATGACATAACATTTCAACAGTATAAACTTTAATATCGGACACAAACTGAACCTAAAACTGCTATCGATAGTAAATGTTCTGTACTATCGTCTACTCACCACTATACAACACATTTTGAAGTTCAGTTCATTTGTACAAAAGACAAATACACTTACGAGTGTTGTTTGTGGCGCAACCAAATTAAATAGTTTGTAACAATCCATGGTACATGTCACACATCAATATCCCATGGCACAACTCAACATTTAATCCCTCAGTCCTTTCTCCTGCTTCACAAGGACTGCACCACGACAACTGTGATGAGCAGCGTTTCTTCCTAAACTTGGACATGTGTGTAGTCGGAGAGCGGATCAAGGGGATATAAAGCAATTCAGGGATTGATTAATCCTGTCTGAAGTGGTAATTAAACCTAAAGTTGCGTAAGAAAGATCGACTTTATGTGATGAATGTAAAACATATTAGGTAATACACACATTAATGAAAAAGCCATAACGTTCTTATTTTCATAAAATGCCGAATATCACTAAACCAACCTTGATCCTTTTAAATAAAAACGTTTTCATTGTTTCACTCATATGTTGAACCAGCTGATATCAGGTAATCTTAGAAAAAACAAAATATGATCAATAACTTAAACATTCTTGTCTTTTACATGCCTTTTGAAATATATATCACACGTACGTACAATGATACCGTTTTTTCGTCTTTTTTTCACTTCCAGTCTTTCAAACTTTTTCAAAAGCTCTGATTTGTGTTTTAAGCCAACTCTCACCACTGACATAACTTTGTAGCTACATTTACACCAGGAGTCTCGGGAACATTCACAACCACGTTTTTACGTGGAGCATTAGCATCAACACTGTTGATTGGCCTTCATTTACGCTCGACTGAATTATGAGATCTTCAGTCGTCCTGACTTGTCTGGACAACTCAGATCCCATGTCCATTTCATATCTTGCTTATTAGGCGTTTTTCTTGTTCAACAAGCTTATTGTCAAATGACAACTTCAGATCTTCTTTGGCCGCCAACACAATCTAGGTTTGTTCATCTGCCTTCGAATTTGTAACTTTGTTGAGATAGTCACAAACGCCCTGTAGCATTTTAGCTGTATGAGTATCACTGCTTTCTGAATAATGTCTTTCCTTTGAAGGGGTAGACATACCTGCATCAAATATAACTGTAATATATAACTGTGGTTGAACCGCCCTGTGTCATGTGAACTGTCGCCATTACCACCTGGACGTAATCATGACTGTCAATATGAAAGTTCAATTCACCTTCCATTTCCAAAAGAAAATCCATAAAAAACATATCAGCAAGGACACAGAAAAATATACTCAATGACTGCAAATTATCTGCAGTCACATGTTGGGTCAGTTGTACAATTATCGTTTCTCAATTGTCCAGAGCTAAAAAAACAACGACTTGTCAACTCGGGTAATAATGTTGTGATTATTTAGGAGGTAAAACTACTGTTTTAAAATTTAATGTAGTCCCACTGTAGGATAGATACCTCTTATTGTAATTTGGAAACGAGCGCTTTAGCGAGTGGTTTAAAATGTAAAAATAAAGAGTTATCTGCATTCTACCATGACGGCAACAACGCTTTTTTTTAAAACGGCGCTCTCTTGCAACGCGGAAGTATACAGGGTACGTTCAGAAAAGTGGCCACAGGTAATTATATATGTAACAAATATTACTAAAGTTCAACATTAAAAAAACATAAATTTTGTTGATAGGCATAACTTAGTAGTTGACGGAAAGCCGACAACATTTATGGAACACAACTTCTTTAATTATTGTAAAGGCGACGTTTCGGTATAGATCCTTATACCGTTGTCACGCAAGACTGAATGAAGAACACGGCACAGAATAAATATCATAGGTGGAGGATTAACAGTAGAGCATTATCTTTAACAACAATTGCATACATGCATTCATGTATGCAATTGTTATATGTCTCACGTAAATATAAGTGACAAAGCTCTTTCAATAATCATTAGAAACTTCTGCTAAAAGCAGCGTCCAACCCACGACTCCAACTGTATCATGAATATTTGTCTATGAATACCTATCAAATAGTGATGGCACGTGCATGTAGTTCACCTACAGGAACTTCTTCTGCATTTCTAGCTTTAATCATGACATTTATGAAGGCGGACTAGACACTGTGGAACTTTGGATTTCTACGGAAACGTGATTTTAGTCCATCAAGTCTTTGAAATGCCATCCTCTTGTTATCTGGAAGCTCTGGAGTTCCAGCCTTGAATGGAAGCGGCATTTCAAAATGTCCTTCTGCTACATGAATGCCTTCTTCCATCTGTTTCATGAATATCCTATCATCGTGAGAGATGTTGGAAGCATTGCAGTCTTTCTCATTAAAGTCTACAGAGAACATGCAGATCACATCATTTGGAACAAACTGCTCCTTCACAGATGTTCTGTGAGATAGATGAATTTCGGATGGCGGACGTAGCTTGAGCGGAATTTCACATGACATCACTCTGTGACTGATGCCAATTGAATCGGAGTTCTCAATTTGTGTTTGATGAAGGAGACCGACCACACCCAATCATAGGTCGGTACGTTGTCCATATGGTTGACCTTCCTGAACTGGTGCGATAACCTCACGAGGTATGAGTGCTTGTGGGCAATTATAGCCTATCAATAGACTGATGTCAACATCATATGTTGGCTTCAATACATCACACAGCTGTCGTAAGTGTGACCATACTTGCACTTTGTCAGGGGTCGGAATTTGGTCCTTATTGGCTGGTGTACCCATGACACCAAGTTTGTTACACAAGTCTTTTAACACAAAAGTCGCATCGGATTGTGTATCCAGCAATGCATATGTCAACAGTTCATTTGACGGATTATCGGAATGAGTTACCCACACGGGTAAAAACATGGAGCACTTATCCACAAAATTGCTTTCATTACTGAGATGGTTAATACTTTTCAGTTTTGACTCCTCAGAAAGTTTAGATAGATCACCATGTAACATAGTAGCATGAAGATGTGAAAAAGTCTTACATGTTAGCCTGTTCCGACAAAACTTTGACTTTAGACAACAATGTCTCATAATCATCAAGCTTGTGTAGACCTTTACAGAAACGGCAAGTTTCAAATTTGACATTTGATTTCGTGTCTAATTTATCTGTGGCAGTGCTCAGAGATGAATCTTTCAGATTTGTGTCGAACACTGTAACATGTGGTCGTTTAGCTGTCGGATGCTGTGACGATGCACAAGTATTCCGGGGCTTGTTCTCATGTTTCAATTCCAAGGGAACAGAAGTGACAGGATCACACATTATTTCTGTTCCTCAGCAATGAAAGTCACAAATCTTGAGCATTTAGGAAACTCTGATGTCTGTTCCCTATATTCGGCGACTTTACGTCTCAAACAATTGAGGAGCCAATCAGGTAGCTTCTGAATAAGCTTACGATTTCCACTTTCATCATTTAGGATGTCAAGTGATCTGACGCTTGACATTGCTGTTTCACACTGTCTGAGAAAGTCTGCAAACTTACGTCATGCATAACCATCCCTTGTTGGTAGTTTCGGCCATGAATCTAGACGGTCACGAAACGCACCTCCAATTATGAAATAGTTTCCAAAACGTTCATCAAGCAATTTGATCGCCTCACTGAATGCATCCGCTGACAATAAAGGGAAAAATCCCTTGACAACATCTTTGGCTTGTCCGTCAAGATAACGTTGCAAATAATAGATTTTTTCACCTTCAGGAATATCTCGTCTCCCTATGAGGACATTGAATGCACTTTTCCATTGTGGGTACATTAGAGGGTCCCAAGAGAAAGTTCCTGGCTCTGGTCGAGGTAAACGCCCAATGTTATCTGATTTGCTAAGGCTTTGATTAAATCTTCATTCTGAGATTCTCTGAGCGGAACGTTTTGCTTGAAAAGGAAAGTTTTGAGTGTCTTTAACAATGTCACTTGTGGCACATGACTAATGTGGAGCTTTAATTTCACTTTGTGTAGGATTTTCAACCTGAACTGTGTCAACATAATCTTGTACAAACATGCTTTGTCCATCCGGACATAAAGCAGGAGAACGAATAGAATCCTCATTCGCTTCACTTTCTAATTTCTCTACAGCTTCTAATTGTGCCATAGCCATAGATAATTTCATTTCTGTCTGACACCTTTCAAGCTCAGCTCTCATTTGATTTTCAACTTCAAGAAATTTCAATTTAGTCTTTAATGCTGCAGCTTCGGCTGTAGCAGCAATTTCGGTCTCCTACAATTTTGACACATTCGACATTTTTGATGACAGTCTTTACAGATTGACATGATTTGTTGTCAGCGAATTTCCGTTCACTCAAACCAAATTCAAGTTTACACAGTTTATCACTCACGGATTTAATGAAATCAAAATGTCTGGATTCAATCTCGTCAAATTTTGCAAGCAAATGTTCATCAGAATAATTGAATGCAGTTAGTTTCCCATGTTCACTACACACAATTGCCATACGGTCTTCTAAACAATCACGAATTGAATGCAGTTCAGATATGTCCACACTGTCAGATACTAATTTCATGACACTACTCGCCTGCCGAGGCCAGTGCAGATTTGAAACGTTTCACACATAGTTCAATCTTATAGTCAGTGTATTCTTGTGTATGCTCAGCCGCACGGCTGCTTAAATCAATATATATCATATGTTGTTAACTGAGAAAGAAATCTGCCAAATCCACGCAAAGATTAAACATAATTAATGCAATTAAGAAAATAACTTATGTTCACAGAAATGATTTGAGAGAAGTGGAATTAATACAATGTGGATTCCCCAAAACACAAAGAAAGTGCTTGAATTATTGCATCGTAAAGAATATAAGTACAGATATGTGAAAACATTTCAGCTTTCAATTCTGTACACCACTGTAGAGCATAATACACTTAAGGAAAAACTTCATTCTTTGATCAAGGGGGCATATGTTGCTAAACGTGGTGACCATAGCATTAGTTTCATCTGTCTTAAAAGGTTCAGGACATTTGTTTTTAAATGAAAGCACATGTCATCTGAAATAACAAATCAAAGTTACCCTTCGTTGGTCAATTGTTGTCTAGGGATTAACAAACAAGACAAGTAAAAAACACCAAATATTGAAAGAACCTTTCTCATTACAGTTAGTACACATTTTATCAAAATCTATTTAACGTATACACACAGGGCTTAGGACGATAGTAAAATATTAAAACTAACCTTGCGCAGCAGTGAAAATGAGGAGGATTGCTAAGAGCGACGAAACACGTAACATGATGCGCCGTCAACAACGTCTGTTCCAGCCTCCAAGTTGTCCACAAGTCAAATCAGTCATGGAAATACAATGCGTTCATAGGAGATTTCTCTCTTTTGAAATCAGAACCTAGGAGCATCATATTCCCCACTGAAGTGTTAGTGTCAGTAATGAACTTGGTCCTAAAGGCAGATCTACTAGTCTCAGTATAGTTTGTATGTTCTCAGCACCAAGCGCATTAATAATTTAGGTTTCAGTCTCAACCTGTTAAACACAGGAATCCCCTTTCTGTTATCTATTGTGACTTCCCTGTTTGCAGCTCAGGAAGACCGAATATGTAACTGGTAGCTTAGACCAATCATTCAGTATACTGGGGATGTGGGAATTTTGTTATTAGAGAAAATATAAGTGTCTAGTCAGACTATAACGTATACGAGTGTTTTCTCGAAACCAAGGAGACGAGAACAATTTGTATTTGTCAGAACACCCAACGCCGCAATTCGATGCACATTCACTTTTCAGAACATTTACTTTGTGTAACATATTTTTTCCAGTATTTTCTCTTGTTGTACTGTGTTAGCAGTTGTCAACTTTCAACTACTTCTCGAAGCTTGCGTAAAGGATGAATCTACCACTTTAAAGAATGTCTATTTGTATGAGAGGAATTCGATTTGCTAATAGCCACTAATTGAAATGCAGAGATTCTTGTAAGAAACAAACATCAAATTGTTTAACATTACCATTAATCTTTTGTGATTTGTGTAGCAGCACTCATATGGGACTCATGTGAATATTCATGTCACTAAAATATTTAATAGATGTGCGAGACGTGACATTCTGACATTCTTCTATTTCGGCTCAGTGATGTCAAACGATGTTCTCCCAAACAACAAGAACAAGAAAAGTGATATTTTGGAAGTAAAAGATACGTGCCTATGGAATTGGGTTCGAATAATACTTCTTTCTTAACATTGAAAAAGAAATTTAACTCGTGGTTTCAAATACCAATACAATGATATTCATTCAAATTTGGTTTTGATGGGTCGTTCCGTCAGTTTCTAAATGTGACCATTTAGTGAATGAGGTAATATTTAACGTTGCACTGGCTATATTACTGATATCGACAAGTTGAGAGACCGAGGATGGTGTATGTCGAAGGGCACTATACATCCTTGAAGGCTTTGCTTGATGTTTTACCTTATTCGATACACCTTCCAAGCAGGACTCTAAAAGCTGATGACTTGGGATGCAAAACGTTTATCGAACCAAACTGTCTCTACTCGTTTCATTATCTCTTCAAATCTATAAAAGATCTCTCTTGTAAAAGGCGATTTCTAAGTTTCCCTCGGGCAAAGACCTTACGAAGCAGTTCATGTGATAAGTTGATGTATTCAGAAATTATCATAATTTATTAAGGGTGATTGTGTTTAGTTAATGCACATACATAGAAAAGGCGTGAATGAGACATGAAACTTCAATTTTTTTATATAAGCCGACTTTTGGATTTAATTGTTTTGAGATAAGTCTTTTTTTCCTTTCTGCCGTAAACGTTTATAAATTTGAGTAATAAGAGTGAATCTGTAAAGTGGATCAATGTAGGAAGCAAAGTAACTTTTTTTCAAACAAGATAATCTTTCTGTGTTGCCTTTATTTCATGGTTATTTTCAGCAATCACCTGAGGAAGGATGGTGTTTACATTCCAAATTTAGGGGTAAGATTGGAAATGTCAGAGTTGACGTTTTGGGATGAGTTGTTAGTAATGCTGCCACGATTTGTCAAACATCCATGCACTCGATGAGGCATACTGCGTATGAATCTCTCAATGGCGACTTGAGAGCGTCTGTCCCACTCATCTTGCAGCGCCTGGCCAAGTTCACCCAACGTGGTAGGCGGCATATGACGTTGACGCACACGTCACCCTTTCATGTTGCAGACGTTTTGGGCGTAGGTCTGGGATAACTGCTGGCCAAGGCATTCTATGGATGTTGAGCTGCTGGAGGTAAGCATGGACGATTCGTGCACGGTGAACATGGGCGTTGTCGTTCTGAAAGATAAAACGTCGACCCACACACACTGCAAACGGGACAACAAAGGGTGTCATTATGTTGTCCCGATAGTACTGTCCAGTGATCCTTGCTTGGAGTGGGGTTATCTCAGTCATAGTGATATTACCCCACACCATAACCGATCCACCGCCAAATCTGTCATAAGGTATTAGGTTGACATTGGCTTGGTGTTTATTTCGACGTCGCTAGACCAGGCTGTCAAAGAATGCAAAGTGAATCTGGACACATCTGAAAAAATGACCGAAAACCCCAGTTTCGACATTGTGTTCACCATTGACATCTGTTGGAAATATGACAATTTGTAAGGGGCAGCAAAACAAGTTGATGTCGAGCATGGAGATGAGCTGCATGTAAATTTCTAATCGTCTGACCCATAACTCGAACTCCAATAGCCTGATGAAAGTTTGTAGCAATTTAATTCGCCGTTTGAACTCGATTTCGTAGTCTGGTTTTGGATAAAAATCGACCTTGTTCTCTTGTCATTGATCCGGGACGCCCTGAACCGGGTCGATCGCCATGTGGGGTTTTAATTTGTTTGTACCTGTTTCATGGCCTGATAATCACAGACTGTGAGTCATTGTACGTATCACACTGATGTGAAAAAGATACGCTTATGACACTACCAACTGTACACAGGAGACAAATGAATAAAAACAATCATTTATCACCACGTGACCGGTGGGGTAGCCTAATAGATATTGACTGGCCAAATGATGGAGCTCGGGGACTATTCTCCACCTGGGTACAACACGGGAAGCCAATATCTGGTGTCAACTTGCCATGAAATGTTCTTAAATTTTGCTAAAAGCGGCTTTAATCCGAACTGACTCACCCTTTCATGGCGACACAATGCAATATTATTTCATCCCATGTTGAAACAATGTAAAGCAATGAATTCTTTCAAATAAGATACTTTTCTATGGGAATACTACCTTTGCTACTGGTAAGTTAATTTTCAAAAGAAATGGGATTGAGCGAACATCTACAGACAGAACTGACAGACGACATGACACTGACGTTTTCATGGCTACGTTTTTATTTTGCATTTTCTGGTGTAAATGGTTATATAATCATTGCGTATGGTCATTTGGGCATGGTATTGCAGACATTTTCATATTTTATTCACATGACTGCTTTGCCAATTTGCCATATTTTACCTTTACGTACTCAGGTTTGTCTTGTGTTGTTGAGCGTTTTCTTCACCTCCTCGAAATACAAGGCCTACGAAGCTAAATGTTTGCATGAATAATCTTAGCTACGGTGTCTCTAAAGGTGCGAATAAAATTCCGACCCGACTGTAAATATATCTGCAACGGGAGCCAAACAACATTAACCATCATTATCCAGCCATCATTTTTGAAGATAAGTTAAATTTTCATTTCTTTGTTCCTATTGTTGTGATATCATGAATTTGATAAGTTGATGAGATCTTACACCTGAGCAGTGTAATAGTTAATGTCACCAAAGTTAAAATGATGTTAGGGAACATAGCAGGTAAACTGCAATTGTATACCTCACCGCACACTATCCTGCCAAGGATTTCACATATGGCTGCCATAGAAACTAAACTTGAATTCGAATGAAAACAGTTCAAGAACATTTGGACAAGTTGTCAGTATGATGGCCGAGGCAAAGTTTCGAAGTGCCATATCCTGTGGTATAGGAGGATATGGCGAAACAAGTTCAAGCAGGGTAAACCTCCGCACGAACAGCGAGTGTGTCAGCTTCCCCTTGGCCGGTCAAATCCAAAACACACATAACTATGAACGTCGAGACTACCAACCCTTCCAAGATAGATCTCTTTCATGTGACGATCTATAAACGCAACATGACCCAGATGGTCTTGACATTTGCAATGGCTGGCCTAGAGTCAAAAATATTTCCAGAATTCATTACATCGCCACTGATTCATCTTTTCGCGAACACCTGTTATCATCACGATTTGATAGTTTTTCATAGCCGCATGTTTTTGATATAGTCGAATCGTACAATCAATTTCTAATGGATAAGGAAAGAGTTTTGTCACATCTGGACTGACTGACGGAAGAGATTAACATTAACCTGCTGTGATTTATTAAATATAAGTGACACATTCCTCGATTATAAGATTCCGACTATATCCTAAGCATGTGTTAATAAATCACTGTTCAATAGTGATGATACTAGATGTTCGCGAAAACGTGAGCGTATACTGTGACATGGGTGGCACCCGTGACAAACATATGCAAAAGCAAGTCAATCGTTCACCTGTCAAAATGGGGAAATGCATCGGACATAATTTTTGTCACTGATTTTGTCAAATTTGGAAATGTCCTCTTCATGTCTACATTAAAATCTGTTTTAAAAATTAACCGAGGCCTTGAATACTGTAACCTTGGTTAAACAAGTTTGGGGCAAGAGTCGTATGCCGCTCTTTGGAATGTTGGTTGAAAGAGCATGTTCGATTGTTCCTTGAAACTTCAACATTTATTCGCCTTTAACTGAATTGCCAGTTTAGCAATCATGGCAGTTTGGATGAGTACCAGAGAGACGATCACATTTACCATCTTAATAACTGCATTGGGACATCACATATGCGCATGCGAGACAAAGCAAGAAACGTCTGCGTTTGGTTCAATGATTAACTATTAATAACGACATTCAACCGCCACGAGAGAAGACATTTGCAAACAATAGCTTAGTGAACATTGTACGCCAAGGATATTAATATTGAATCACAATGTCTCTGATAACACGCTCACACAAAACTAATTGTCACGGTTTGGTGAATCAGTTATAATTCGGCTCTTATATATCAATGCCCAAGTCTCTTGTGATAGGTAATTAAGGCAACTGTTGTTAGGCAGTCCTTTACTCTTTTCAAAATAACAGCGTTCTTCCAAAGTCCAACATCCTGACAATATGTACCTGGTGTCTTTGATAATACATGTGGATTACCTGGACACAATGGCTGTGGCTTATGATTAATAATTAACATCATATCAGACTGAAGGCAGTTGGTTGAGGCAGACACTGCAAAACAAATCCATATGTTCAAGCTTGTACATGCTTTGGAAAGATGATATATCCAAAGCATATACAAGTCTGGATTGATGAGATATCCAACAATATACAAATTTGTATGTATGGCATAGC